GAAGGAAGGAAGGAAGGAAGGAAGGAAGGAAGGAAGGAAGGAAGGAAGGCTGGCTGGCTGGCTGGTTCGTTCGTTGGTTCGTTGGTTCGTTGGTTCGTTGGTTCGTTGTCAGTCAAAGCATCAAAGGTACTCTTGGACAGATACTCCCATACCCAGACTTGAAGAGATGTCACATACTGAAGTGTGGTAAGAAAACGAAAACCAGTTTTTGATCAATTATGTTCAGATTATGAATTAAATGGGTGTGAATAAAATAACTGAAAAGGATAGAGTTAAATTTTAAATCAGTACTGTAATAGGGAATGCATGTCTTTCCAGAAATTGTTAGAGTGTAGCGCCCAGCGGCTGGGAACAGCATAGCCAGGGCTAGGAGATTAACATAGAATTGTCGTAGGATTGGAAGGGATCTTGGAGGTCTTCTAGTCCAACCCCCTGCCCAAGGGAGGAGACCTCATACCAATCCCGGACAGTCCAATCTTTTCTTGAAAACCTCCAGTGATGGGGCACCCACCACATCAGGAGCCAAGCTGTTTCACTGCTTAATGGTTCTCACCGTCAGGAAATTCCTACTTATTTCCAGGTTGGATCTCCCTCTGACGGGTTCTTGTCCTACCCTCAGGTGTAATGAAGAATAAATGAATGCCCTCTGCCCTGTGGCAACCCAGGGACTTCCCAGGCTCAAAATTTTGAAGCTGTCACAGTTGTTAACTCCTGTATCTGCCTGCCTGTCTATATCTATCCAATCATCCATGAGTTTCACTTCAGAAACCCCATATGACTTCCGAAATACCACATGAAAGGAATGATGATCTTCTTATGTGCCATCAAGTCACTGTCAATTGATGGCTACATTATGAATCCATGACCTCTAAAAAGTCCTGTTACTAAAAGGACAAGTCAGGTCTTGCAAAGCAAAGGCTGTGGCCTCCAGCCTTGGGCAAGCTGCACAGTTTCGGTGTGTTACTTAACAGAAGGAAGGACTGATGAATCATGTCTGAGAACTTTATTCCTGGGAAATCTTTGGAAGATCACCATAAATCAGAACTGATGGCACACAATGATCTTTCTATATATCAGTTTGGCTGACGTTTTTACTTAAGATTTAAACTATTAAAATGATTTAAAAACAAATTTTGATGTTCCCTCCCCTCCAGCCCATGGGAATCTATGTTGCAGGTCATCCTATAGTCATCTGGACGCTCACGGCAGAATGAAAATGAATTTTATCTCACCACTTTTACCACACATTTCTGAACACTGCCAAAGTCATAAAGAAGTGTTAGGAATGTGTGAGGATAACCACACTCTACAGATGATGGCACTCCCATCTGCACATAAGGAACCCTACATGCGAGGAAGTAGCTTCCACGAATAATTCCACGAATTATGCATCCATAGGATGATGCCCCTGTACATGTCAATGTAATGGAGTATGGTTAGCTGCCCCCTCACACATCCAGCCCAACGGGGATTGAGAACTTGAAGTGGCTGTGTATGAGAAGGCCAACTTTATCCAATCACAGCAGTTTTTTTTATTATGATGCTTATAAGCAGATATATGACACATCAAGAGGATGGATTAGGCCTTTACGCATACTAATTTATTTAAAATATTTCTAACCTCCACCAGTGTTGACAATACGGTTTTCAAGCTGGCTAGCACCAGACTTTGTACATACGGTTCCAGAATAACACATTAAACATATCGTAAGAAAGGAAATTAGTATTGAGGTAAAGATAACATTTGAATTAAATAGAAGTACAGATGGCACACACACACACACAAAAAGTTTCAAATGACATTTTCCCAAATGCTTGTGAATATAAAGCAGATTTCACTTAGAGAAAACGGACATTCTTGGTGTGAATTACATGTCAGGATGATTTAGTTGACATTGAGGAAAATACTTTGGTTTTTATTTACTCTTCCCACCAATTGCTGAAGCACTTCAGAGCATGTTCTGAGAAGACAACTTTAACAAATGGGTAGATTTATATTAAATGGGTGAGCAGAGTGAGGCCCACAGGCTGTATGTGCCCCTCCGGGTCCCAAATGTGACCCACAAACATCCCAGAAGATGCCAGCCCTCCACCATGGCTTCACGGCCTAGCTTCCTCTTACAAAAAGAAGCCGTCCCAATGATTATTAGGAATCTCCCAGCAAGCACCAGGGTAGCTTCCTTTTGTAACAGGAAGCTAGGCCATGAAGTCTCCTGGCTAGGCCTTCATCCAGCTGAGCCACATTTCTGCTTCCAGAATTTTCCATTCTAGGAGTTTCAGCTAATAGCCTCACACCTAAATGTGGCTCAGGTGGATGAAGGCCTAGCCAGGAGACTTCATGGCCTAGCTTCCTGTTACATTTTGTTTTATTATATATAAAATCTAAATGGCATATCCCTACCCTCCAACCCCATAAGGTTTTGGGAAAAAAATCTGCTCAAAATGTCCCTGTGGGGGCATGGGAGGCCATTAGTTCACTTTTGGGGACCTTCCACTTAGGCTCCACCACAACCCTCCAAATCTTTGAATTTGTATTTCTTTTTGAATAACACTACATGGCATGGGGGCTTGTTCATTTTTTTAAAAAAAAACTTTTAAAAAACAAAATGAAATATTTTGATGGTGGTTAAGGGGCAGGGCTGGATATGTCCCTCCAAGGTCTAGAGGAAAGCAGGTTTGATCCTTGAACCTCTAGAGGCCACCCACCCCACATATTGTTGTTGTTTAGTCATTAAGTCGTGTCCGACTCTTCGTGACCCCATGGACCAGAGCACGCCAGGCCCTGCTGTCTTCCACTGCCTCCCAGAGTTGGGTCAAATTCATGTTGGGAGCTTCGATGACACTGTCCAGCCATCTCATCCTCTGTCATCCCCTTCTCCTCTTGCTCTCACACTTTCCCAACATCAGGGACTTTTCCAGGGAGTCTTCTCTTCTCATGAGATGGCCAAAGTATTGGAGCCTTAGCTTCAGGATCTGTCCTTCCAATGAGCACTCTGTCTGTTCTCCTTGCAGTCCAGGGGACTCTCAAGAGTCCCTGCATATAGAAGACAACAGATGCCCTGTTTCAACCATTTGGAGATTCACTGATCAAAAGAAGCATTTTGCATGTGTTCTGGAAACAAACTGGAGACCCAGGAAGAATTCAAAAGGCTGAATCCCAGTTAGCCTAACTAACGCTGCATTCTCAACCAGTTGACATTTCCTTTTATTTCTCAGTGCCAGTTCTTACACATGAGAGCTCTCCAAAGAAGGTTTGGACAATGGGGAAAGGATTATATCTCTCTCTTCCCTCTCTCTAGAATGGGATGCAAGTGTCATACCAACTGAAAATGTCAAAAAGCATGTTTCACTAGAGATATAAACTGTAAAGTGGAAAGCCATCACTCAATACAACCCCAAATACCTAGTTCTCGGCAATATAGTAAACTATCTTTAGATTAGTAGTGGACAAAATGTGAGGGTATGGACAGTCAAAGCTGTTTTCTGCACACATGCTCCAGTCTCCATTCACCACAGATGTCACTGTGCTTCCAAAACCAAAAGGGAAGAAGACAGTCTACCCTACAGACTGGCAAGCCTCTATGGTACAAAGGACTGCTCTTTCACGCCATAGAGAGCCACTGCAGCTGCTGGCACGTTGCAGCAGCAGCTGTGCGAAATTCAGCAGTGGTGGCCAAATTCATTGGTGAGACTCTGTGGCCTTGACCATTCTGGTGTCACCTTTAATCCAAGACGTCATCCATTCCTGATCTAGACTGTGCCCATTTAGACTGAATAGATGCTCTTCCATACACAAACAAAACTCTTCTGTGGAACAGCCTTCTAGTTGAAAGGCTGCCTGACCCAAGTTTGATTTAAACCCTAATTTTACCCATTATCGTAAGAGACTTTGTATTTCTACTGCAATGAGAGCAATTGGCCAGAATCCTATTGTAGATGTATGCTTGGGTAGGGAAAACTGATTGTGCAATTGGGCATCCATCCAGGAATACAACCAGCACTTCATTATGGAGCAGAAATGTGCCACCAAGACTTTGGCAGTTTCCTTTATGTAGGCAGAAATTGGCAACAGGATATTGGGTAATATTGCTCAAACTACATCTGTACATACACTAGCAAGTGCACGTTTTATGCGGATCAACCTCTTCTATTGATCATGATACATTTTCCCCACTTCTGTTGCTGAGCTGCAAATGCCCACTCTAGTTCTGGTCTATTTTTGTCCTCTAATATGTCAATTTTGTATACAAATCTTACCTTTTGATATGAAGAACATCTAATAATGTACCGAACCTGGAGTGTTCACAGACACCTCAGCCCTTGAAATACTACACCAGTGGCAACAAGGCTCAAGTTATGTCTTTCTCATATGGACTGGGAATGTATGATTCTCCAGGTATTATGGGACTACAGCTTCCATCATCCATCACCATTGTCTGCGTCATCTCAGACAACCCTCATTGTTGTCCAGAAACATCTGAAGATCATACATTCGCCATCCATGCTGTGTTTCTTTTGACCTGATACTTATGTGTAATATGAATAACCCCTGATTCTGTTACATCAGTGGCTCCCAACCTTGGGTAATCCAGATGTTCTTAGACTGCACCTCCCAGAAACCCAAGCCAGTACAGCTAATGGCAAAAACTTCTGGGATTTTCAGTCCCAGAACACCTGGCTTACCCAAAGTTGGGAGCCACCGTATTACATGCTTATGCCAAGTTGCTACTGCTTATATTGTATTTACATAAATTAAAAAGGAAAGTATTTGATTCCGCCAAAGAGCTCCGTGTGATCTGTTCCAGATCTGTCATGTCTCCAAGGTGCTCTGGCTTCCTTCATGGGTCATGAACTGGACCTTGGGCACAATGAAGGAAGAATTATTCCTTCTCATGGAGTTATTCCGTCTGATGGAATTGTTCCTCCGCATTGAATTCCGTTTCCTCAAAGAGTTCTGATGGGACAGCTCACTTTTCTGGAGTGTCTGGATCAGAATGGAAGGCTTGTCGTCGAGCTCCTTGGCACTGCAACGGGGCGCTGCCACTTTGCTCGTGTTGCCGAACTTGGAGTAGTCCACTGCGTAAGTCCCTTCCTCTTCCGTGACGATCGGCACAAAGCGGTGGCCCCACAGGATCTCTTCCGATATGTAGGATGTTCTAGCTTGGGTGGTGATCCCCGTGGTTTCCACCACACCTTCAAGTATTACGATAATTTCTAGGTCTTGGCTGGCCAAGTCATTGGCACAGAGGTCGTAGAGAGGACTCCGCTTGTCAATGACATGGCAGATAATCAAAGGAGCTACAAGAAAAATATTGTTGCTCTCCACTGGATTATCAACCGGAACATCTAACTGGTGGATGGGGATGATCTCTCCTTCTGGGGTCGTAGTCTTCTTAACAACTTGGATTCGCACCGACGCATTGATGATCATGCTTTTCCTCAGGTCTCCCACCCGGAACATGAAGCACAGATGGCCATTACGAACGGCAATCACCGCATTCCGGCTAAAGATCAGCGTCTCTGCTCTTCGGTGTGCCTGGGCTGTTTTCATGAAGATGCAACCAAGCATGACGGCATTGATAATCAAGCCCACAATGTTCTGGAACATCAAGACCCCGATGGCTATAAGACATTCTTCAGTCATCATCCTGCCTCCAAAACCAATGGTCACTTGGACCTCAATAGAGAAGAGGAAAGCAGAGGTGAAGGACCTATGGGGAGAAAAGTTGCACAGTGTTATAAAATTATGAAGCCACTCAGGATATCTGTCAGTACAGCATAAGTGCAAATGGCCTGGAGACCAATTCAGATGCTGTCATTTTGTACTGTAACTTAGTTCTATTTTGGGAGAAGAATTAAAAGCACATAACTCATTATTTGCTATTAATTAATTCCAGACTCTAGCATGGAACACATAAATTTGAGTTTGGTCACACCTATGTTGGCTGTTGCAGGTCCTGGACCTCCAAGTTTCTCCAGCTGCCCTCAGAACTTCCACCCATTGTAAATAAATGGCTGTCATTCATGTTTCTATGACAAACACAAGTACTATTGAGATGTTCTTGGATCTGTGAAGATTCTCAGTCATCCAGGTGAGGCTAATCTGGAAGTTGAACCATGGCAACTGGACTTCTTTCCTGTTAGTTGAAACGTTTTGCTATTCCTCCAAGTAGTTTCTTCAGTCTGAGGAGAGTTGGTAGGAGATCCCTGATAAATCCTCCACATTGGTTTCACTTCCCCCTGGTCTGAATAGGCTCGTTAGATGGACAAAGGAATAAGGGTGAGGGATAATCCCACTTCTGTAGTCCTTCTCCACCCATTGTCATGGGTTGGGCCTTTCATCCGTCCCCAGAAAAATCATGACCAGACACCAGAAAGACCACTATTAATGACTGTTAACGGCCCATGATAATGGGTGGAGGAGGACTGCAGCTACTTGGATGAGTACTGAAACATTTGAACCCAAAAGGAAAGAAGTCCAGTTGCCATGACTCAGCTTCCAGATACTGAAAAGAAGGTTCTTTTGGTGAAGGCGGCTTCCACATGCACACTTGCTGCTGCCTCAGTGTCACTTGACACGGTTGCCATGACTCAACTTCCAGATACTGCTGCCTCAGTGTCACTTGACACAACTCCTGCTGGATGCCTTGACCTGTAGAAGTCCAGCAAACACAAAACATAACTGGTAGGTGGTGGGTGCAGGTTGTTCTGGCTGTTTGACCATGTTCTGGAGGTTTTTCTTCCTAACGTTTTGCCAGTGTCTGTGGCTGGCATCTTCAGAGGACAGGACACTGTCTGTGTACTGGTATAGTGTGTGGGTTAGTTGAGTATTTGTAGCTGTGGGCTCAGCTTTTGTCCTTTTCAGAAGATTGGGTGACTAAAACAACCAGAAAAATTGGCAGTAGCTGAACATGTCCTGAAACAAGTTGGACATGAAATCCTATTTCAAAAAACAGAAGTACTGGAAAACACCAGTAATCATTATGTTAGACTACACAGAGAAGCCATTGAAATCCACAAACTTCAGCACAGCTTCAACAAAAAAGAAGAAAGTCTAAAACTCAACAAAGTCTGGCTCCCAGCACTGAAAAATACAGCCTGCAAAAAGGTCAATGAACTCTACCCAGCCACAAGGACCGGTGATCACTGCACATAAAAGACTAGCTAACGACACACATCAATCACAGTGATAGATCATCTCCTCCTTATCACAATACACGGATAACAAAAAACACCCTGATCACCATATTACCCAATCTACTGAAAAGGACAAAAGTTGATCACACAGCTACAAATACTCAACTATCCCACACACTACACTAGAACACAGACAGAGTTCTGACTCCTGTCCTCTGAAGATGCCAGCCACTGAGATTGGTGTCCTCTGAAGATGCCAGCCACCGAGACTAGTGTAACATTAGGAAGAAAAACCACCGGAACGCGGCCAAGCAGCCCAAAAAACCTACAACAACTGTCGGATCCTGGCTGTGAAGTCCTTCGAAAACACATTTAGGCTTGAAACCTAAAAATTATGCAGAAGTTCTTGTTACTTGCCATCCTGTCATCCTTTTCAGCCAACATAGCTAATAACCATTTTGACTGGGATGATGGGAGCTATAGTTAAATATGCAACTTGGACACATTTTGGAACTACAACTCCCAGAATCTCCCAGTCAAGCCAACAAACAAACATGATCAATCACATCTGAAGAGTGTCAGATTCGGAAAGCCTGCAGTATAGTCTGGGTGGCAACACAGGATACAGGTGCCACAAATATAGGCCAAAATATTTGTGTCATGTACGCAAGAGATACCAGTTGCAGCCTACTTGTGACCATGCACACTTGAATGGCTCTGATTCGTACTTTATTTGGCGGCTGTGGTTTTACCTACTTCACGGTGCTAGCTCGCTACACGTTACCTGACGCAAGTGATGCATGGCTTCCACTTGCTGACGTCCTCGTTTCCCACGCACGGCTTGTCCATGTCTCCGTGGGCAAAGGCCACCAGCCACCACACCATGGCAAAGAAAAGCCAGCTGCACAGGAAGGACATGGTGAAGATCACCAAGGTGTGGCGCCACTTCAGGTCCACCAAGGTGGTGAAGATGTCTTGCAAGAACCGCCCTTGCTCGCGGATGTTCTTGTGAGCCAGGTTGCACGCGCCATTCTTGGCAATGAAGCGGGCTTTGCGGGGCCGGTCCCGGACACGTGGCTTGCCCAGGTTCTCCGCTGCGATCCGTGCAAGAACATACTCTTCCGGAATGATGCTCTTCCTAGCCAACATCTTCCTGTCACCATAGTCCACCAGCCAACGGAGAAGGGAGCTGGAGTTGAGGATTCAGAAGCAGCCTGCTGTTCACACTTGTTCAATTCTGTGGAAAGAAAGATGACATAAAACCCCTTTTTGCTATTTCTGTTTGAAATGGCTTGCCCAGCTGAGGTGCCAGGCAGGTGAACCTTCTTACTGGTGCATTTGTTTTCCAAATGTGGGCAGCTTTTTGTGCTTTGCACTGATCAGTCCTTTCTCATCAAAAGTGTTTCCTTTGTAAAGTAAATTCCACTAACGGTTTATTGGACAGCATGAGATGGTTCCCAGCAACGGTGAGTGCTCAGTAAATAAACAAAATCCTCTTCCCACATATATCACTGGTCTGTTTCTCTAGCAGTGATTCTTGGGACCCCAGATGTTTTGGGATTAAAACTCCCAAGAGCCTTTCCCACTAGTCTGTGCTGGTCCAGATTTCTGGGAGTTGTAGTCCAAGAACATCAGGGGACCCAAGGTTGGGAACCACTGCTCTAAACACACAAGAAGTGTCTATACTCCTGCAGAATAAGTTACAATATTAAGAGACAAGAGGGGAAAATATCCAAGCCGGTTTAGATTATATATGATCAGTATTTATATGCCGCCCACTCTACCCAAAGATATCTGATCAGGAAGGTGAGTAAATCCTTTCAAAAGGAACAGCACACTTGTACATTATCCCAGGAATTGCACTAGTCATCAGCACTTGTCGTTCACTTTGAAAGCCCCTAAATTTTGATATGACCTTTGCTATAAAAACACAGTGAAAAACTAGTAAAATTGGGGAAACACCCCCCTCTCGCATGTGCTCTTTCTTAGCAACCCATAGAATTCTTCAGATATAGAAACCTCCACAATGTCTTCACCTTTGCTTTAATTGAAAGCTGATGACACAAAAGATACATGCACAGTCCTGCTAATAAATAGGAAGCATCATCCGATGGTCCCAGATTTCACTGGATGAAAAGTAGGTTGCAATTATAACTAAAGGATGCTTCAAACATAGACCCCTTGCTAAGTGCACACTAGTGCAAAACTCTCATCTGTCTCAAGTCAGTAGCTTCAAACATAGACCCCTTGCTAAGTGCAAAACTCTCATCTGTCTTAAATCAGTAGTTCCCAACCTCGGGTCCCTAGATGTTCTTAGACTACAACTCCCAGAAATCCTGGCCAACACAGCTAAAGGTGAAGGCTTCTGGGAATTTTACTCCAAGAGTATCTGGGAACCCCAAGGCTGGGAACTATTGGTCTAAGTCGATGATGCTCAGCATGATTGGGGAATGAATGAATGTTCATGATTATGCAGATAAGCTTGCTTTGTTTGGTAATTATTCTTCCGGGCTTAAGCACTGGGGATATCTTTGACAAACATGGGAAATCAGCCTCAACCATCTCTCAGCAAGATTGAGGTGCTTTCAGAGCTAATCATGGCTACATCTAATCTCTCTCTCTGGTTTCAGGCTCTCTCTCTCTCTCTCTCTCTCTGGTTTCAGGAATTCTCAAGCCTGTTTTGCGAAGTGCTTAAAATGGAGAGTTCAGGAATTGAACCTTAGACCAGTGTGCAAAGTATGTTCATGCACCATGGCCCTTTCATTCAAAGTGAATGAGAACAAAGAAATTGAAGGGGAAGGAAATGGAGCAGGCCATCAATATTTCTCCATGAGATTCTGCACAATCCTGGATCACATCTCATGCAAAACGAGAAGCTGTGAAAACCGGAAAGCAGTGCCAAGCCAGAATAAGATACAACCCGCCAGGAAGCTTTCCTGATGAAGTCCTACATCAAGCGAATGCAGAAGTCCTGAAATGGAGGGAAATCCCCGGAGATCTCTATTAATGGAAGTTCTGCCACAATCAAGCAAAACTGTTCAGATTTTCCCTCAAACTTATATGGACATCATTCAAAAGCAGTTTGGGTTTAGTGAATCCTTTCTCAGACAAGTTCAGAAGACTAGATGCACTGTCAAAACTCTTTCCATCAATATTTCAGAGGAGGCCCTCCTCTTGGTCCCATTGCCAGCACAGGCATGGCTGATGAGGACACGAGACAGGGCCTTCTCTGTGGCTGCTCCCAGGTGATGAAATGCTCTCCCTCGGGAGATCACACTGCCCCCCTCCCTTTTACCCTTCCGCTGACAGTTAAAGATTCATCTCTTCAGGCAGGCTTTTAACAATCATGAGTGAGTCTCTGAATGCCTTCTTAGTGTTCAGATAGTTTTAAATCTTTACTTGCTTTTAATTATTCAATTGTATTTTAATTAGCCTATAGTTCAATGTGTTGTTTTTTATATTTAACTTACGTTTCTAGTTCTTTTCCTTTAAATATTGTGAGCTGTCTTGAGTTTCCTTATGGGGAGAAAGGCGGCATATAAATCAAGCAAGCAAGCAAACAAACAAGATGCACATTTCTTCTATAAACACAATACAACGTGGAAGCACTATAGGTGGAGATATGAATGGTCGGGAGGTTAAAATCTTGCTGATCTTCCAGCCAGCTGAGAAACACCGAGCAGCCAAGATTAAAGATTTAAGTACCATTGCTCTGTTGCTTTGAGGTTGTGTGTCACTGAAGAGCAAGTGTTTGGAAACAGAACAAAGAATTTAACACCCCCTTAAGACGAACATGTTTTATTTGCCATAAGCGTTCATAGACTGCAAGCCCGTTGCATCACATCCATGCATCTGGTGAAGGAGGGTGCCAGCTGCGGTCTATCAAAATATGTGCCAAAGAAACTTACTCTTAAAAACTCCTTGCTGTGCTAACTTGGCAACAGGCTAACATGGCTGTCTCTCCTTCCCCAGAAAGTTTTTTTGTGTTCAGAAAGGAGGCTTCTGAGTTATAGAAAGTTTTTCATTGTGCCCACTGTTGTAAACAAGTAGAAGGTGCTCATTCAGGCATGCCTAGAAAACAGGATTGAAGAAAGACCCTGTTCCAGCAAAATTATCTCATTATCACCATCCTAGAACATTATCCAGTATAACTGAAGAACCCTGTCTGATCCGAAAGCTTGCTTCATTTACTTAGAACATTGTGTTCTTTGTTCTGTTTAGTTTTGATTAGTATTGAAGCTGCACAAACACACACACCTGACTACAGAAACTCAAACTAGCAGTACATGTTAATAAAATACCCAACCCAAAAGTTAGCTACATAGACTTGGATGAAAGGAGAAAATTGCTCTCTGAGCTGGGGAGGGGGGTGGAGATCTGTGGTCTCAGCACATTTTAATCTGCTCGAAAACAGGATTAAATTTGAGTTGGAGCACACAGGGTTTTATAATGTAATCCACCTTTCCCTTTGAGATCAGCTGAGGATACATCAATGATCTTCTGAGCATGTCCCAAGTACTTCTCTCTTATTTGCAATCTTTTGCCGCTAGACCCTCCTGAGACCTGGGGAAAATGTTTCAAGGTCAGAAGATGTGATTTCCTGGCAAACGGGTGCTCTGGTCTTTCTCATATGACTTCAGCACAGACCCTCTGGCTTACTAGAGGAAAGGGTGAGGAAGGTGGGAATGTTGTAAACTGGGAGAGAGAACATTCAGGACAAGTCACAACAGCTGGAAACACCTGGACAGGGAGGATCAGAGGAAAGGGGCTGTGTCTAAGATGGCGCAGACAGACCAAAGAAGGAAAATAGAAACTTACAAAGATTAGGGCGGCCGTAGATCAGACGTCTCCTGGCACCCGCTGGTCGTCAGCTTAGCCGAATCCTTTGAGCTTCCATGGCTGCTGAAAACCCAGGATGCAAAAAACAGCAGGGGCGCAAGTAAGAATATACTGTCGTAGGTCGCCGACTGCTCTTCTTTCTCTGCTCTTTTGCACTTGACCTCCAGTCTAAATGTGAGGCTTGGAGAGAACGGCCAGAGCCATGATTTCTGTCTTCTTCAGCAAAGGTGGGGGGGAGGGAGGGAAAGAAAGGAATCAGAGAATAACTGGAATTTTTAAAAAAAGAAAAACCTGCTGCTGATTAAAGGAAGAGTGACCAAGCGTTTGTGCGCCAAATGAGGTGGAGGAGAAACATCTCAGCTGCACAAGCAGTCTTCTGAGATTTCTCCACCTCCCTGGACATCACAAACCTTCACAAAGTTTCCAACATTTTCCCAAGTGTTGGGAAGGGAGGGAGGGAGGGAGGCATGAGGGCTACAACAAGAATGTATATTTTGGGTACAAAACATCTGGAGAGTTAAAGGTCCAGAACCACTGCTCTAGTCAATCTCTGAGCCTGAACACTGGCTCAGGAATTCAAATGTCACTTCTAGAACTAGATGGAGAAGGTGGGGGGTATATTGTGTATTATCACTATCCTATCATTCAGTAGTTTCATCTTGAAGAGCACGAAAGATGACACAGGCCCTTGTGACAGATCGTATGCCAGTGGCTACAGGGTGTCGTGGCAGTTTTTCTTTCTCTGCCTGTTGAAATGAGCCATTGGAAATGACCAGAACAAGGGTGAATCAGTGACTCTCAGACCTCTCGAGCTTATCGGATTTTCACCTTGCAACCTGCTCTGATCTAGATCCATTATCTGCTCACCAGGTATTTTGTTTACATGGAAATTCATATCTATTTCCATGCCTCTTTTAAATAAAGTGTATTAAAATGTTTTTATAGCTCAGTAGTCTAGGGTTGTGGAGCCAGAGGTTGGGAGTTCAATTCCCCACTGGGCCTCCTGAGAGTAGCTCCAGGCCCCAAGGAAGGGAATGGTGAACCCCTTCTGCGTACTCTCTAGCTGGAAAACCCTGAAAAGTGGCATCATAAGTCAGAATTGAAGTCGGATGATGATAGTGAGGGATTCTTATGGGAGAAGACAAAATATATTCTCGGCACCCCAATATAGCAGTGAGGCTCCAAGAAATCATTCTTGCTGGGCCAACAAACGGAAGTGATTTGTGGGAGACAGAAAATTTTAGAGCACTCTTTGCTTGAAGGCAATGGGATTACGAGCAACTTGGATGCTTTTAAAAGGGAATGTATGGACCAAGCACATTCACGGATAGTGACATGAAAGTCTTTCTTTCTGCACCAGAGTCTTTTAATCCTCGTATTCTTTATATTCCAAATCTGGAAGATTTATAAACAAACACCTTCCTTACCTGTGTGATTCTCAGGTTTAACTGGTGGGCCACTTTGGAAAGCAGAAGTTCTGCTACTGTATCAGCACTCATCTGATGTCTGAGCATTTGGAACAGCCTCATATTTTATTTTATTTTATATTTTATTTTAATACCTCTCCATTAGTCAATGCACTGTTCTGGGCAGTTTACAGCATGATAAAATAAGCAACTTGGGAGAATAAAATTATAAATGAACAGTCAGAGAAATAAAACCAATGGTAAGAGGTAAAGGTAAAGGTTTCCCTTGACATTTAGTCCAGCCATGTCCGACTCTAGGGGGCAGTGCTCATCCCCGTCTCTAAGCCGTAGAGGCAGTGTTTGTCCGAAGACAGTTTCCGTGGTCACGTGGCCAGCGCGACTAGACACGGAATGCCGTGACCTTCCCACCGAGGTGGTCCCTATTTATCTACTCACATTTTGCATGCTTTCAAACTACTAGGTTGGCAGGAGCTGGGACAAGCGACAGGAGCTTATTCTGTCACGTGGATTCGATCTTACGAATGCAGGTCTTCTGACCTTGAAGCACAGAGGCTTTTGTGGTTGAACTTGCAGCGCCACCATGTCCTGGGGCAAAAAAAAAACCCCTATGGTACTAAGAGGCATATTATATCTGACTGGCAGGACACAAGGCAAGAAGTCATGCAGAGTCATCTACTATGCTATCTACTAACTGATGGATTACAAAACAATAATGTGCTAAAGATGGATTAAAGCAAACTAATATTGCCATAAACAGACAGTTTTTTTCACTTCAGGGTGCACTGCTTCTAGACGGGGAATCAGAGTCTCATCCAATAGGGACCTTTAGTAGTGACTAAATTTTGCTGGATCATCCCCAAACTAGCTTATTTTTATCTTAGAACTGTTGCTAGCGCAACAAAGTCAACAAAAATATGTATCTCTTTCATCTAAAGTGCAACCCATTACTGTCTGAAAGCTGGCAAAACACTTTGTATAAACCCTTGAGCTAATAAAAGACATCTCGATATGACGCTCTGTCTTCACCAAGAGCACCCCGAGAAATATGAACTGAAGTTGGCAGAAAACACTGAGAAGAAAGCAAAGCTAATCAGTTCACAATGAAAGTTTGTGATCCTTTCCCACTGGTTTGGGTTGATGAAGTGTATTGGCCTGACACTGAACTTCTATTTAATGGAAACTTACATTCTTGGAAATCTGGTTCCTTCCTTCCATGTAATCCCCCATGTCCTCAGAAAATGATTAGAGTCACTAATGGGAAAATGAGCACCTTGGTTAGTTTCTGAAGCTAAGTTTACACAGCTAAATTTAGAAGGGTCTAGAAAATTCAGATTCCTCCCCTTAGCATTGAGCGGAAAGGTACAACATGATACTCTAAAGACGCAGTGTTTGGAAAGGCAGTGTAGTGTGGCGGTTGGATTGTTCACAATGCGAAAGAGATAAACAAATATTAAGTTTGCTCTCTGTGTCGCAGAATAGATGCTGCAGTAGATCCATGGGCCACTGGTCCCACAGGAAAGCAGGAGAAGCAGTTACCATCAAATAACTGAACTTAACATTGCAGATTTTTGTTGTCATTTAGTCATTTAGTTGTGTCTGACTCTTTGTGACCCCATGGACCAGAGCATGCCAGGCCCTCCTGTCTTCCACTGCCTCCCAGAGTTGGGTCAAATTCATGTTGGTTGCCTCGAGGACACTGTCCAACCATCTCAACCTCTGTCATCCCCTTCTCCTCTTGCCTTCACACTTTCCCAGCATCAGGGTCTTTTCCAGGGAGTCTTCTCTTCTCGTGAGATGGCCAAAGTATTGGAGCCTCAGCTTCAGGATCTGTCCTTCCAGTGAGCACTCAGGGTTGATTTCCTGCAGAACGGATAGGTTTGTTCTCCTTGCAGTCCAGGGGACTCTCAAGAGTCTCCTCCAGCACCACAATTCAAAAGCATCAATTCTTTGGTGGTCAGCCTTCTTTATGGTCCAGCTCTCAATTCCATACATCGCTACAGGAAAAACCATAGCTTTGACTATGCGGACATTTGTCGGCAAAGTGATGTCTAGAAAATCCTAAATCATCATTCTAACTAGTTAGGCATGTGCCCCAAGGCTCCTGACTTCGAGACTGCATGTCTGCTGATTAGAAAGATGAAAACAAGATGGAAGTCAGAATGAGACTGAGAGGCAGACCCTGATCTCATGATAGGAAGTAGAAGTCAGAGAGTTAAAGGTGAAAGGCATGCTTTTCCTGACTTCTCCTCCCAAATCCCTCTTCCAGCTATTTGGGCTGGATAGATATTTAAGAGTAGATATCCAGTGTAGAGTAGATACGCACACAGACTGGAAAACCATGATGGTTCATGGTTTCTGGCTACCACCAAACCACAAACTATCACCTCTCCTCCCCTCCCAAAATGAACTAGTTTGGGGTTCATTTTTCCAGTTTGTGCTGGGGAGGACATGAGTGCACAGCTGACGAGCGGGTGCATGCACACAGACAGCAGGCCTGGCTTCCGTGCAAGGATCCGGGCCTGCTGCCTTTCAGGATGGTGGGGGTAGCTTCAAAACAAATAGGGAGGTGATGGAGGGGGTAGTGAGAGGGAGCGGGGCGGGCATCCCATTTTGCAAACCAAAGTGCTGAGGGGGGGAACGGTTGGTGCTTTGTTTCGTTTTGGCAAAATGAGATCCATGCACCAAACCACAAACCAGCCCAGGTTTTTTGTATTTTTTCCCCCTGGTTCGTGGTTCAGTTTGTGCCCATCTCTAGTGTAGAATGATAGCCTAGTGTTTGAACTGATTTCAGTAAGGTTTTTCCCCTGCCTTTTAAAACTGAATATGTTTAATTGTTGATAGTATGATTATTGAAAATATATCGTCCATGTTTTAATATTTGTTTTTGAGCCATTTGTAAGCTGCCTACAGGGAGAAAGGCAGTGAAAACATGAAATGAAGGGAAATTTAACATAGAAACCAGCAGATGGGAGTAAAATAGGAGTGTGATGGGACACCATGAAAGTTATTAGGAGAGGAATTCCCACAAGGGATTCATACAGAATAAAAAAATTTGAGAGAAGAAAATATTTAAAAAAATAGAAGAATCATTAAAAGATTTAGAAAGTAAGTATTTTATAGATAGAGATAATAAGAAATTATTAGAGAGTAAAGCTAAAAGGAAAGAGTTGGAAAGCATAGAGTTCGAAAATGTTCAGAGAGATCTGATATACAGCGGTGCCTTGCTTAACGACGATAATCCGTTCCTGGGAAATCGCCATTAAGCGAAATCATCGTAAAGCGGAACCCCCCCTTGAAATGCATTGAAACCCGTTCAATGCATTCCAATGGGGTAAAAACTCACAGTCCAGTGAAGATCCTCCATACGGTGGCCATTTTTGCTGCCTGTATAGTGAGGAATCCGTCCCTAAACACAGCGGGGAGCCATTTTAATTACCCAGCAGCCACTTTGAAACCACCGATCAGCTGTAAGAAAAACGTCGTTTTGCGAAGAATCGGTTCCTGAAGCAGGGAACCGATCATTGCAAAGCGAAATTCCCCCATTTAGACCATTGTTTAAAGATTGTCGTTAAGCGGATTCGTCATAATGCGGGGCAATCAGAAAGCGAGGCACCACTGTATTTGAAGAGAATTTTCTTCGAGTATAGTAATAAAAATTCGAAGCTTTTAGCCAGGATATCTCAAACTAAAAGATTTTTTAAATACAGTTGGAGTGCTTAGAGATAAAACAGGAAAGAATTGCAGCCCAATGAAGGAAAAATTAGTAATAATGTAAGAACCATTCCTTAAATATCTCCTTTACCTTGAAAGGCCTAGTCCGGTCACTGTAAGTCTGTTCCGACTTGCCAGTACGTAACAACATAACAGGTGCTAAGAGACCAGGCTTGGAGGATGCCAGAGAGGACCCGTTCATCAATCACATGTGAAGGGGGTTTAGATGAGCCACTGTTTCTCAGCTGAGAATCCTATTTCCATCAGGTCAAAATCAGAGTGAAATCTTGGCTTCTTGAGC